ATTTATATTTATATTTATATGGGTATACATTTATATTTATATAGGTATACATCTATATTTATATTTGTATAGCTATATGTTTATATAGGTTTATATTTATATTTATATTTATATTTATATTTATATTTATATTTATATTTATATTTATATTTATATTTATATTTATATTTATATTTATATTTATATTTAATTTGCTCTGTGCCAGCCTCCAGGCAGGATCGAAGGATCCCAATCCACAGCCTTGGTATCCCCTGGGATAATTTGATTTATTTTGGGAATTAAGACACAAGAGCAACGTTCCAGTTCCTGCTTTTCCTTTTTCTGTAAAATTCAAAAATATTCTCCATTTTCAACCACCAACCCTTCAAAATCACCCTGGAATTTTATATTAAATATCAATATTTAATATGATGAATATTAAATTATGGTCTCCAGAGGCATCACCTATTTGATCCCAATCCACAGCCTTGGGATCTCCTGGGATAATTTGATTTTTTTTTAATTAAGAGACAAGAGCAACGTTCCAGTTCCTGCTTTTCCCTTTTCTGTAAAATTCAAAAATATTCTCCATCAGATGTTCATGTTTCCTCAATTTGTAACACATTTTAATAAGAGGAATTTTTCCCATCGCCTGGGTAAATTCTTGCGTGTTGTGAATTTTTCTGGGGAGGGCTCAGGGCTCCACTTCAGCTGGGTTTGTGACCCAAAAAGAGCAAAAATTTGCTGAAAAAAGAACAAAAATGTAATCAGAAGAAGCAAAAAAAAAAAAAAAAAAAAAAAAAAAAAAAAAAAAAAAAAAAAAAAAAAAAAAAAAAAAAAAAAAACAAAAAAAAGCAAAAAATGGACTAAAAAAAGCAAAAAAATTAACTGAAAAAGCACAAAAAACTAACAAAAAAAGGCAAAAAATAATATCCAAAAAGGAAAAAATATTTCGCAAAAAAAAAAAATCCATTAATATTTAATTATGCGAAAACCAAAAAAAAAGGCAAAAAAATAATATTCAAAAAGGAAAAAATATTTCGCAAAAAAAACCCCGCCATTAATATTTAATTATTAACGGCAAATTAACTGCATTAATTTAAAATCTAATATTTATTTTCCACTCATCATTTCTTTCTCCTGGCCTTTTATTTCATCTTCTCTACCTCTTTTTTGTTTTTTATTTTCATTTTCCAACCAGGAATTGGGGAATGCGCACCAATAATTCGGAATATTCCGATTTTTGGGATGGTTTAGCTGGGAAAAAAATCACGCTGAGTGTCAGAGGGAATTTCCGCTGGACCGATCTGCTCCGTCATTTTTTTGGGATGTTTTATCCGTATGATTTATCCCATCCCAATTTTTCCTGATTTTTTTATTTTTCCCAGGTTCAGCGGCGTTTTCCCCAGTTTGAACGCGGCCGTGAAGAGGAGGGAGCAGACGCTGCAGGATTACAAACGCCTCCAGTCCAAGGTGGAAAAATATGAGGAAAAAGAAAAAACCGGCCCCGTCCTGGCCAAGCTGCACCAGGTATGGAAATATTGAAATATATCCCCGAGCCAAAATTCGGGAAAATCCGGGAAAATCCAGGAAAAGATTTTCCCTCCCATTTGGCGTCCGTGCCATCAACAGAATGGTGGGAGGATGGGTTTTATCCATGGAAAAATCACATTTTTGACAGCGCCACGCGGGGTTGGAGTGAGGGTGAAGGGGATGATTTACCAAGAGAAAATGGAAATTTTTAACAAGAGAAAATGGAGATTTTTAACAAGAGAAAATGGAATTTTTTACCAAAAGAAAATGAAGATTTTTTTCCAAGAGAAAATGGAAATTTTACCCAGAGAAAATGGAGATTTTACCAAGAAAAATTGGAAATTTTACCAAGAGAAAATGGAAATTTTTACTAAGAGAAATTGGAGATTTTACCAAGAGAAAATGGAAATTTTACCAAGAGAAAATGGAAATTTTTTCTAAGAGAAAATGGAAATTTTTACCAAGAAAAAATGGAAAATTTTTCCAAGAGAAAATGGA